GAATGCCCGGAGAGCACCGGCAAGCGTGGCAGCTGGGGAGGGGATGCCCAGGGTGCGGGGTGCCCGGGGTGCCTCACTTGGCGAGCAGGCTCATGAGGTAGGCGGAGGTGTTGGTGTCCAGGCGCAGCGGCGGCACGGTGACGTAGGCGGCGGCGTGGAACCAGTCCTGGTGGTAGTAGTGCAGCCCGGTGAGCGTGGCGTGTGCCGTGGTCGTCTCCGCGTACACCACCTTCCCTGCCAGGGCGGAGGCAGACGCGTGGGGCTGGGGGCAGCGGGGCAGGCGTGCAACGGAGGTGCGTGCACGGGCAAGTGTGCAAGGGGCACGTGCGTGCTCTGCACGGTATCTCTGCAGGCGGCACGTGCCCCTGTCTGCGCACGAGCCCCGTGTCTGCGTGTGTACACGTGTGCTCACGTCTGCGTCCTGTGTCTGTGCTGTGGGCCCACGTGTGCACGCGTGGCCAAGGGCACATCCCCACGCGCACACACGTGCTCCCGTGTCCATGTGTCTGTTCCTGCCTGCACCCCTGTCCGTGCAAGACCCCTCGTGTCTCTGCGGCCCCGTACCCTCCACGCCACGCGTGTCCACGCCTCTGCACGTGACATGGCCCTGCATGCACTCATGTCCCTTCAAGCCCATGACCCTCCCGCTCCCCACACCCACCCTGCATGTGTGTCCGCGTCCACGCCTGTGCCCCCTGTCCACGCGTGTCATGTCGGTGTGCGCCCATGTCCCTGTCTGCAGCCCCGCACGGGCTCACGCCTGCATGTGCACAGCGCATGGCCACGATCCCGGGGGAGACGGACGAGCCCCACGCTGAGTCCGGGCCCACGGGGGTTCACGTCCCATCCCACTGCCAGCCTTGGAGGGGCCACGTCCTGCTCCAGGGGTGCCCACCCGGGTCCCCTACCTTGCATCTTGGCAGTGGCGATGACATCCCCTGCGGACATGCTGGAGACGTTCACCAGGTAGACAGGGCAGTGGGTCTGCGGAGAGGGCGTCAGTGCCATTGTCCCTGTGGCACCCCAGTTCCATGGGGGGTCCCCGGGGTGCCCACCCACAGATGCAGCGAGGGGGGACGCCCCAGCTGCAGGAGGAGGCGGGATGCCCACCGCGCTCCGGCACTGCCGTGTGCCGCACACCCGGCTCGCTCGGGGCAGGGGGGACCCCGGCACGGACCGTCGGCGGCAGGGTTCAGTCCTGGCCACGCGGCTTGGAACCACTCACCCTGTTGGCAATGGTGATGACGCGGTGCGTGGCCTCGGCTTCCAGCTGCGGAGAGAGCGGGCAGTGAGACGCGTGGCACGGCACGGCAAAACGCCCCGGCTGCGGCACGGTGCGGGGTTGGGCCCGGTGGGTGGTGCATGGATGGGTGTGCAAATGATGTGCCGGTGGTGCGGAGATGGGTGTGCAAATGGTTGTGCAGACGGTGTGCAGACAGGTGCACGGATGGCACGCAGATGGGCGCACGGATGGCACGGGTGGGTGCACGGGTGGGTGCACGGGCGATTCCAGCTATGAGGATGCCCCGGATCATCCCAGCCACATCCCGGGCCACCGCCTGTGCTGGGACTCGGGGACACCAGCAGTCCCTACCTCTTCGGGCCGGCTGATTTCAATGCCCTCCGGCCCCGTGATGCCCAGGTCCAGCGCCTCCTTCGCTCCCTGGGGAATGGAGGGGGGGTGTCAGGGCCGGGGGGGATGCGGGGGGCTCTGCCCCATGGCCGCCGGGGCCCCGCGGGCACCCCCGGCCCCCGCGCTCACCTCAGCCACCAGCTCGCCGTTCTCGGCGTGGACCCGGGCGATGGCCCCGATGTCGCGGCATGCCCGGAAGACCTGGTAGAGCTCACTGTCCCGCAGCATGTACAGGTCCTTGTAGGTCATGAACATCTGGAAGGAGTTCACTCCCTTCTCCCGCACCAGCGTCTCCATCTCCGCCTTCACCTGTGCCGGGACGGGGGGTCAGCGCGCTGTGGGGGGGACATGGCGGCTCCGGGGGGCACGGGGGGCCACGGGACCTGCTCCCCCCCGCCACGGGGCAGGGACTGACACTTCGTCCTTAGGGACGCGAGATGCAGGATTAGTGCACGCACCCCAGGGTGATGGGGGCAGCGACAGATGCTGGGGGGGATTTTGCTCGCCGTGTCACGCTGTGATCTGGCCCTGGCCTGGCCGGATCCCCAGTGTGCCGGTGCTGGGATGCGCCCTGGGGGCACCCGGTCCGTCCCCAGCCACCCCCTGCTCTGCCTGGGGAGGGTCTGGCCGGGCCGTGGGGTACGCAGGGGCCGGGGTCTCCCTGCAGCGCGGCCGGGAGCAGCCCGGCTCAAGCCAGGCCTGATCCTGCTCCGGCAGCTTTGGCGGGGATTGCAGGGGCCGAGCGTGCCGTGGGATGGGGTCTGGGCACTGAGGAGGGCCAGCCCCTGCGGCCACCACCATGGGGGTCCTGCCACAGGATTGGGTCCCCGCTGCCCCGGTTCCCTCCATGGAGCGGCAGCACCTTCCCCGCCCCGGCGAGGGGCTCAGCCCCACGGGGACCCCCTGCCCCGCTGAGCCCGGATCAAGGCAGCTCAAAAGGCAGCCTGGGGGCTCAGCCCAGCCCACCCCAACGAGCAGCTAATGGGATCAGCAGGGCCGGGAATTAGCCCGGGCTGCAGCAGCTGCTCCCGGGCACCGCGGCCCCGGCGCCCGCCTCGCTGTGCCGGGGTCAGAGCCGCACCGGCGCGGCGCGGCCAGACTCACCTTGGGCGCCCACCAAGTGATGCCCATGTGCAGGGCGTAGTCGCAGCAGACCTTGGGGTCGGCCAGGCTGCGGCACTTCTCGTAGGCGTCCAGCAGCGAGGTCTCCTTGTCCGGCAGGACGTGGCCGATGATCATCGTCGTCCCTCCCACCAGGGCTGCCTGCGGGTGATGGGGACAGCAGCGGTGGGGGAGCAGGATTTGCCCCACCGGGGAACTGCCCCCGGTGCTGCCCACGCCGTGGGGTGGCACTAATCCTGCCTGGCTACGAGCAGGGCTAATCCCCTGGGCGGGCGGGCTGGGACAGCCACGTTTGGGGCACGGCGTTGCCCGCAGGCAGGTGGGGGCCCTGGGCTGGCCCCACTGCAGGCAGGGATCCCCCGGCATCACCCTGGGGTGCAACTGCCTCCCGCAGCACCCTGGCCCTGCCCGTAGCTGCCCGGTTGCAGCAGCACATCTGGGCGCACGGCACATCTTGAGGGCCCCATCCTGCCACCCACCAGGGTGCCGACCGCCCCCCCCAGCACCAACCGCTGGATTTAGGGAGCCACGGAGACGCCCTGCCCATGGGCCTGGGCACCACAGCCCCCGCAGCCCCCCCAGCTGTGCCCCCGGCGTGGGGCCCGATCCGGGACGGGGCTGCCCAGCCCAGGACAGGCAGCACGGGGGTCGCAGGGAGAGCCCCCCCGCCGCGGCACGTGTGGGCAGCAGAGCGGGCACCGTCGCGCCCGGCGGCGTCCCCAGCTCACCCGGCCCGGCTAATCCCCAAAGCTCCTTTACCAATTGGCCCTCGCAGGCTGGTGGTGCCGGCACAGTGCTGCGACGCAGCCTGGTGGGACCGGGACGGGGAGCAGGCACGGCACGGCGTGCCCACGGTGACGGCACCAGCCCCCTGCTCTCCAGTACATCACCGGGCCGCTCACCGTGCCACGGCGTGGGGCCTGCCTGGCCCCCCCAACCCCGCTGCTGCAGCTGCCGTGGCAGAGCCGAATCCCCTGCCCAGGGACCCTGGGCACCCCGGGACCAGGCACGGCCAGCGCTGGCCCGGCACAATGGCTGCTCTGTGCGGGGCGCTGGAGACAGCCGGCCCCGGCGCTGCCTGGGACAAGCCTCTGCCCGTCCCTCGACACCCCCAGGCAGTGGCACCTGGTACATGGCACCGCCGGCCCACGGCAGAGAGGGCCCCGAGCCGGGCTGGCACTGCAGAGCATCCCCACGGCAGCCTCGCTGCTATAGGCGCGTCCGGCTGCGCCAGGCCCGGCGTGCCATGCCCTGGTCTGGAGCTGGATGAGCACCCCGTCGGCAGGGTCTGTGGCACACGGGGAGCCACGGGAGCAGAGGGACCCATGCCGGCACAGGGTGCTGCGGCCCCAGCGAGGGAGGAGGATGCTCACAGCAAGGGGACCTGATGGATGGGGACATGGGGACAGCGGGTGCACGGTGCCAGGCTGCCGGGGAGTTGATGCAGCCAGCTGCCCGCAGTGCCGGGGGACAGAGCATGCCCACGCCGCAGGAACCCCGCCACCGAATGCGCTTGCCTTGGCCATGGATGCTCCACGTCGACCCCCTGCAGCACCCACGGGCACCGTGGGGGCCAGGGAGCCTCCCCAAGCTGGGAGCAAACCCACCCGCCGGGGGCTCGGGGTGCGGGCAGAGCGTGCCGGCAGCACGCCCGGGGCTGCGGGGGGACCGCGGCCGGGCGGTACCTTGGTGCCGTGGTAGAAGTCATCCACGCAGGTGGCGTTCATGAAGGTCTGGTGGAAGTGGGTGCTGGTGTCGATGCCGCCTGGGATAACGAGCTTGCCGGTGGCGTCGATGACCTTGGCCCCGCCGGGGATCATGAGCTCGCGGCCCACTTGCTGGATGATGCCGTTCTCGATGTAGACGTCCGCCTCCAGCGTGCAGTCATCGTTCACCACCTTCCCCCCCTTGATGAGGATCCGCATGGTGGCCGCGTTGGCGAGCATGGCGCTGCGAGGGCAGGCGTCAGCCCCGGGGTGGCTGCTGGGTGCCCTCGTCCCGCGTAGCCCCCCGGAGCCGGGGGGGGCTCACCCCCATTGCCCGCCCCTGGGGGTCCCGGACTGGCACGGTGCTGCCGCCGCGGGGGCGAGTCCCCCTTCTCGGCACAGGAACCCGGTGCAGGCAGGGCTCCGGGCAGCCCCACGGCTGCGCATCTGCCGTGCCCATCCCCGCCCTGGGCCATGTCAACACCGGATTATCCGGGGAAATCCACGGAGAGGGGGGGCCCTGGGCGCCGAGTCAGGGGCTGGCGCCCTGCCGAGCCCCCCTGCTCTGGCAACGTGAGCCTGCACCCCGGCCAGCGCTGCCCACCCCGGGGTCCCAGCACCCTGA